TTTTGGTGGGTTTTTATTTTTTTTTTTTTTTTTTTTTTTTTTTTTTTAGAATGACTATCAATAGTGATAATACTTTAAGCAAACTATCCTTCTCCATTTCATAACATTTCGGAATTTTTACTGGTTATGTTCAGGTTGAAGGCGAACAATGCGGAGGGCTATGGGATATTAATGGCAAGTGTTCTACCGGTTTGGAATGTGTGAACGAACCCCAGCCAGAGAACCAGGAAATGCCTATGTTCTTCATGGACTCTGGAATTTGCAGAAAGATAGGTGAGCATATTATGTAGACTTTCTTTTTCGTGAATTCATGAGTTTTGTTTAAATTGTATCGACTTTACATGATTCTATACAGCAATGATCTAGGAAACTCTTGTCAGTCGGAATATTGAGAAACCCCACTGTCGCCGCAATCATGTGCGACTTCCGAAACAGCAATAGGCATAAAAACATATAAATCGTAATCGAAACTCAAAAAGAATTATATAAAATAGCTGACTACAGCATTAAAAAAAAATTATATAAATAACTTTAAATAATATGATGAAATTACTCATATTTTTTTAACAGTTATACTATGAATAGTAAAAGCAAATAATATTTCTTAATATTGTAAATAGTATACGAATGTAAAATTTACTAATATATGGACGTTGAGTTAATAGTCGTTAATAAAATTTAATATTTGATTTGCGTACTCTAGATTTATTTCATTACCTTCTATTTTAAAATTCAATCAAGTGTATGTTTTTCCTCTCAAGGCGTGAGAAAAAAAAATACTTCATATTTTCTTCCATAGCACCATAAATTAACTGGTAATTAATTTAAAAGATACTGTAGTTGTAACTTATACCTCCATGGTTGTAGTAACCCAATCTTTATATCACGGAATGTGGGTGTGTGTGGGGCGGGGGGTGTCTCATCGAAAGCGCATAACATAGGCATAGTGCTTTACTTAAATGTCTGATGATTTCGCACCACCCAAGGAGTGACGGTGGGCCTAAAGCTAATTTCATGGCCCTCCACCCACCCTTATTATCCCACTTTCCCATCACTAAAATCCACTCTTACATTTAGAGTTTATTAATGTTATCACCTACCCACCCTTAATAATATTAAGGAAATAATATTAATTAATATTAATATTAATATTAATATTAATATTAATATTAATATTATTTATTTATTTATTAATATTATTATTATTGATTAATATTAGACATATTATGTCTATCACCCACCCTTAGTTTTTTACAGCTACAACCCTGACCACTGTATATCTATAGTGCGAACTTTAATGTACTCAGACATTTTTTATTCACTCAGTACCGTATTCCATAAGGCTTGGTAACACTATAAACTTAGACGCGTTGGCGCTTGTGTGCGATTGCGTCTCAATGCGTACACTAAAATTGCTCTAGTGTAAACCATCGCAAACCAGGCTTGAGTGCAATAACTCATTGTGGACCTTTTTGAAGTGTCGATTAAACCTAACCAGAACTGGCCAATCGGAACATCGCCTAAGAATACGCGCTTGTCCCACAAACACGTGTGTCCCAAAAACGCACGTGTTTACGTAGGTTTCGCTATCGTTTAGCGCGACCTTAGCAATAATATCCAATCAGCGGGGATTGGCGCAAGGGTCCATTGTATGAGTAAATATACTCATTATTGTTTATCATAAGTGATTTAGAATTTAGAATTCATTTAGTAATAAGTCCCATTAGTCGTCAAAACAAACATATATTTCCTTCTTTTTATTTTCATACATACCGAATAACCTAAACAGGAGGTACGGTTCCACAAAGCATGCCAGAGATGGATGTGCCTGCTAAAATTGTGCCTGTTAAACATTAGGTATAAATAAGTGAAATCTAACGAGCATTTTTCTTTTGTCCCATGTTTTCAGTTAAAAAATTATTCTTCATCGTATTGCATTAAACGTATATCAAAAATTAACCAAATCTTGAATTTCTAACATACTGTAACTAACACGTTTGTATTTCTTCCTACAAAATCTAACAATTCTTGATCTTGGTGATAGTTTACAAATCTGATAATTATTCAAACAAAACTGAAGCATAGACAAAAATAAATAAACAAATGAAGTATAATAAAGATAAGAATGAACACAGTCAGAATTAAATATTATTTGCACGTAAAGTTTTGTTTGGATGGTGAATCACAAGCCTATTTTGTATACATAAATCTAGCATAGCACATTTAAAAAAAAACCATCTGATTTTCAGTATAATCCTAAATAGTATTATTTTTTCAATGTCACTGTTAATATTATGCTAATCGTAACTAATTACCTTCATTTTATTCCTTCTTTCTTTTTGATTATTTATATTTAATTTTAATAATATAGTACAGTAATACTTTTGTAATCTTAGTCGCTATTATTATTATTATTATTATTATTATTATTATTATTTATTATTATTACTTAGTATTATTATCATATCTATAGTCCTCATTACTGTTGTAATTTGTATTATTAATAATATTATAATTATCCTAATAATAAACTAAATAGATACCTTAAATAAAGAAAAACAAAAAATATCTTAATATTAAAAATATGAATAATTGTAATAGGCCTAATATAAAAATTAATAGTAATAATTAGTGTAATTGCTTATTTAATTTAAATATTGATTAAGTGATTTATTATTTATTACTTAATTGATTGATAATTAATTATTATTACTTATTATTACCTATCTTACCTTAATTGTCCATTTATCATTTCCATAAACAGAGGTTGCTTCGTAAATTGAAGAGGAGTACCGGTTATGAGTTAAATCGAAAATAAAAAATCTTCAAGTCTGGGAAGAAAGAAAATACAATCACCAAAAAGACAGTTACCGACCTCAATCAACAAAGGCCGGACATCAAGTATTTTTTTATGCGGCATCCTTCTGTAGTGTATTATTCTAAATGATTTTAAATAGATTTGATGTTATTGAATGCGATGATGATCATAATAGATAACTCGTTATCGAGTATCAGTAGAGAAAAGGACAACGAAGCCGAATATTGCGTCCAGATACACAAAGACAGCGCGCGGTGCAATGCTGTTTGAAATCGAGAACATAAAATTAACATCATCAAATTCATACATTAAATGTTATTATTATTTTTATTGATATCTTTATTGTAATGTATAAATATTTATGTGTTTAATATATGTAAAAAAATATTTGTGTTAAGTATAGATATTCTATATGTAAGGTAGTTAACGCTTAGAATAAGTTTGTTACACGTAGAAGATAAGATGATACATGTCTGTCTGCTTATATACAATTGTTGTAAATTAAATTAATGTTTATATTTCTGACGGAGATAAAGGCAGTCCCACGGAATAATGTAATAAATTTGATATGACGTATAACGATAATAATTACTTAGAAATTCTCTAGATATGAATATAACAATAGGTGTTTTGTTATAAGATTACGTCGTTTTTGTTGATTAAAATGATTTGTTGCAATTACTATCGTATTATTTGATTAGTTAATTACGAATACTGAAATCGATTAAAAAAATAAATCAAAATATTATAAATGATAGATAATTCCACTTCTATTTGCTTTTTATGAGCCATACCTCATACAAAATTAGTAACAAAGTCTATTATCTGCGATCTGCAGTTTCATGAGCGAACCCGTGGTACGTCGATCAAAATATGTCTCCCTCTAATTTAAGACCACTTTTGGGACCGGGGTTTTCGTGGTCTTTAGCAGTTTCGGTCTCACATTTGAATAATAAAATAAAAGACATTTGTTAATTTGAGACCACAGAAAAGTCGTCTTTAATTTGAGGTGGTCTGTAATTGGAGGGTCTTTCCTGAGACTATGTATAGATAAGTCATAAAATAACTAATCATTTAATTTTTATATAAAAACTACAAATCCAGGCCAGGCATCACGACACTTCAATGTCTGTCGTTTAGAGTTGTTGTTGACGTCAAAAACTGATGTTAGCTAACGAAACAACTGAAACATCGAATTATCGAAATAATTTGTTAAAGGCATACGGTACTTAATTAAAGCCACTCTAAAATTGTTAGTTTTAATTATACTTAGAAATGAATTGATATATTCAACGACTGTTGGCTTTTATTAAGTTATTGAATCCTTTCTACAATAAATCATCTTAACTCATAATTAACCTTTCATAATGAAAGCCAAGAGTATAAAATGGGTACCGGCATGTGATGGAAAGGTAAAACAGACTTGCTGTGTGGGAGGAGTGGCGAACCCCTCATAGCCTTGAGTGTCTGGCCCACACGTTAATGAAAGACAAATGGGCAAATTATGGTTACGATTACATTTGACAGTGCAAATACCATTTCTATTCCGTAGATCTGACTAATGTCAATAAAACAGGTCCTTAGCTAGGCCTCATAAAGATACTGGCCTATTACTATAGGTAAAGCATCGTTCTATCCTGTAATTGGCGAGTAAAATACTTGCTGTTGGATGTGAAAGGAATAAGAAAGAACTGGGGGCGAGGAGGAGGAGCAAAGGGTTTGCCAATAACAGCTGGATCCTCCTGAATTTGTTGATATATATATATAATATATATATATATATATGGTCTAAATTAAACGATATACCGCTCGTTTTCAAGTACTTAGCGAAGAGGACCCCTGTGTGTTCATTAAGGCCAATGGAGAGACAAATGAGACTTCAGCCCCAAAGAAAGAAAGAGTAAAGATATCGATCAAATTCAGCCATCCAGATGTTGTAGCTGCCAGACAGAATATGGAAGAAGCTCAGCTGAAAAATATAACAATAATCACTCACTAGAAGACTATCACCTATTGAAACTTGCAAGGGAATTCTCTACAAAATCTATGACAAAATTAGGGAGAGCGAGATAAGGGAGAAAATAAGAAGGGTCGAAGAGCCGAAAAGTGGAGAGCGTTACGATGTAGTTTGGAAAGTCATCAACGAAGTGTCTGGGCGTAAGAGATCAAAGGAGGGTCAAGTATCAGGATCAAGTCCAGAGGAAAGGGTAAAAACCTCGTACACTCACTTCAAAAAGTTGTTCGGTAGTACTCCCAGCGTAGTAGAAGCCGAAAACGAAATTCCGAACATTCTCACAAACTTAAGACATTGATGATGGACCGTTCACTCCTGAAGCTAGAGCCAAGGCGTCAATCAAGCAAGGCAAGAGTGCTGGACCTGCAACGATATTTGCGTGTAGCAAGCTGTAACCATGGCTGTAAATTGTGATTGTTACAGCATGCACGCAAAGATCGTACGCGGCGGATACCCTACGCGGTGGATACCCTACGCGGCGCTATTTACACGATCTTTTGTTACTTTTTCGAAATTGACGTCATGGTAAAATCGTATTATAATCGCCTATAACTTCATATAAATTAGCGATTTTAAAGTTGATTCTATTATTAATGGCATATCAAAAATCCACTCTAGAACAAAAAATCATTAAAACTATTAACAACTTCTATATTCTCGATCTTCAGATGTAGTATGGTCGTAGATATGGCAAACTTTTTTGTACCTTGTTTAGCGGACATGCCGCCCTCTAAAATGATGATTCGAATAAAACAAAATTATATTTGGCCAATTAGCACACTCACCGCCACGAAAAATCGAAATTTCAGAAGAAAAAAATGTTGCTTTATTTTTAATTTTTGGGTCTACCATGTTGTTTAATACGACAAATAATAAATTTAAAGTGTTAAAAATGTTGTATAACGCAGGGAAATATACAAAGGAGCGTAAATCAAGCTTTAATTAGCAAGAATCTAATGATGGTCACCGAATGGGTATTTTATAAACCGAGAGAAAAAATGGAAAACAGATAGGAAAATTCATATCTGTGAGTGAGGGGACACAATCTTATAAATATTTGCACTATATTTGGGGTTTACATTTCTTCTAATAAAAAAAAAGTACAAAAACAAAAAAAAGAACAAAGTCATTCTAAAAGCTTCCCCCCGCCCGCCCGTTCATTTTTTTTTTTATCTAGTGATGATAAATCAATAAAGAAACGTTGGTCCCTGAAAAAGGTCATGGGGGCCCTGATTTTCACTACAAAATAAGAAAGAAAGGGGGAAAGAAAAATATAAAAGGAAAAGAAATGAAAATCGTAAGACAGAAAAGGAAAAGAATTAGAAAAAGACATAAGAAAGAAATGGAATGGAAAGGAAGCATAAGAAAGAAAAGGAGAGACTAAAGTAGAAAATGAAACATAGAAACAAAAGGAAACATAAGAAAGGAAAAAAAAGAAGAAAAGGAAACATAATAAAGAATAGGAAAAAGTTAAGGAAACATATGACAAAAAAGGAAAGTGTAAGAAAGAGAAAGAAAAGAAAAGGAAATATCGAAAGACATTGGTATAACTGTGGTTAAAAAATGAGGAGGTAAAGTAATAAAATGATGAATCTTGTTACATTTTCTTCTTGTGATATGTATCTTGTTTTTTTCTCTACTGCTTCTTTGACACTGCCCAGCACCTAATTAGGTGGAGATGTTTGCGCTTTACAAATCTATATTATTATTATTATTATTAATAGGCATATTATATTAATATAAGGCCTATTATTATTATTATCATTATTGTTATTATTAATAGGCATATTATATTATTATAAGGCCTATTATTATTATTATTATTATTAACAACACGATATTCAAACTTAAAACAATGATTAATTTAGTCTTTTTGCAAGTACACGACTTTTAAAATCAATCAAGATATTTTTGCTATTCTCCCCTTTTTAACTTTCACTTTTCCCCTTTTTAATTTCACTTCTGTATTAGTAATATTGCGACTACACTATTGTGAGTGGAAATAATATCAATCTATTGTCAAATAAAGTGAAATCACCTCGACCTGACAAAATAACGTAAAATTATCAGCCATACATATTGATTGACAAATCAAAAAAGCTCCACAAAATACGAAATGGTTCTTCTTGCAACATTATCGTTCAAGAGCGAGAATAGCCTAGCAAAAGTGTTTCACGCTGACATTAGCTGTTTTTAGGTCATTTTTTGTCTTTCCACAGTCGTATCGGCAAATACTTGTCGGATTTATGTATTCCCTTCTGAATTTGGAAGGCAATTCTTTTCTGATTGCTTTAGTATTTGTTTCAATTGTATTGCTTGAAAAAGGTCACCGTCATTTTTCACTTTTCTATTGGTGCTATGCTGACCGCCCACCGTGCGTGGAGGCTGCCTTTTGACCTCTTTTTAATGACTTCGTTTAAATTGCCATTTCGGCTATTCACTAACCAAATATCTCGTTGTTCATTCCCCCCAGTAAACGAAAAGCTGAATATTCATAGATTCTTCTCATATAAAATATATAAATTGCAATTGGATGAAAAAAAATCACCATCAAAACACTAATTTCAATATGAATGAACAATCCTGTCTAGCCATTAAGCCGCAAAAATGCGAAGCTTTGGTATAGCCTTCCGCCACCATTGTCAGAGGTCTGAAGGCCCCGGCCTTAAAAAAAAAAAAATTACCTCTAGCGATTTCGTTGGCTTTAAATTGCCATTTCGACTGTTCACCAATCAAATATCTTGTTGTTCATTCCCAAGTAAACGGAAAGCTGAATATTCATAGATTCTTCTTATATAAAATATATTTATTTATTTAAACAATATTTTGTGAGGGTGGTCCATCATGGCTGAGCTGATCAATTGGGACCCTCAGTACATACAATTAGAACATAAGTATACAAATTAAACTTGTTTTTAACATAAACAAATTAATTAAATTAAACCAGAATATGAATTCCCATTGGGTGAAAAAAAAAATCACCATCAAAACACTAATTTCAATATGAATGAACAATCCTGTCTAGGCATTATGCCCGCAAAAATGCGAAGCTTTGGTATAGGCTTCCGCCATTGTCAGAGGTCTGGTAGGCCTGGCCTTAACAAAAAAATTAATTAAAAAAAAAATGGTTCGTGTGGGAATCGAACACACAACCACCAGGTTTGCTATTCATTATCCACCATCCACTAAACTGCCTTAAAAAAAGATTCGTGTGGGAATCGAACACACAACCACCAGATTGGTTTGTGTGAGAATTGAACACACAACCTCCAGGTTTGCTATTCATTATCCACCATCAAATAAACTGCCTTTAAAAAAAAGAAAGAAAAAAAAAATTGGTTCGTGTGGGAATTGAACACACAACAACCAGGTTTCCCGTAACATGATAAGTCTATTTTTTCTAATTTGCGTAATGAATTTTTCAAACATTTTTGTCTATTTAAAAAAAAAGTGCGTAAGTTATGTAGATGGCAACATTGAATAATCGATTATAAATTTAATTCTACATTTTTAGACAAAAAAATAAACCCTCTTGGCCCACGGCCCATTTTTGACACCATGACCTTGCGTAATATTAACCTGCAGTGTATATATACGAAGAATTTTTGCTAGTAAGGTCAGAGTTGACTAACTGGTACTTGGTGTGGTACTAGGTTTATCGCATTTATGGCTTAGGGGCCGCGGTTTACTTCCCTCCGTTAGTCATGCTGAATCAGGGGTAGTAAACTCAGCGATCGTGGGTTCGATTCCCACACGGGGCAAGTTTTTTTAAATTTTTTTAATTTATTTTTACTTTTTTATTTTTTATTTTTGAAGGTCGTGGGTTCTATTCCCACACGAGCCAGTTTTTTTTTAATTTTTTTTTAAGGCAGTTTAGTTGATTAGCAAAAAATGGAGGTTGTGTGTTCGATTCTCACATAAACCAATTTTTTTTCTTTAAGGCAGTTTAGTTGATGGTGGATAATGGATGTATTGTACTCGTTGATGACGTCGCGAAAAACAAGGTGTCATGACCGAGCCTAGACCGTCATGAAAGCTCACTGGCTCCTGTGTAATTCATGTTGAGCCAACTGCAGACGAAAAGGTTACAATCTTTTCAGAGATAAGGAAGGGTCAATGGAAGGATTTTAATACTGAGGAATGGAAGTTAGCGAAGTCCTTGGCTTGCTTAACCGTTTTTCTTCGATCGTCGCTTCCAACCGTCTAGGCGCGTCTAGCCTAAAGAGGGCCTACATAGCAGGTCGAGATCCATGAAAAGTCGTATATAAAGACGTGGGTTACCCACATCTTTATATTTGCACAAGTAATTAAAATTGTTTATTGAGCAGATTACTCACACTGATAAACAATTGTACTACATTCGGCTGATGCATATGAACTTCTATTTAGAGACATATTATTTTCTTTCCAAAAATCTTAATAAACGTTAACTAGCACCTCATATCGACTTTTGAATGGTGAAAATCGGCTCAGTATAACCCATTTTACCGTGTACAAATTTTAAGTTAATAGAACATACTGCTGTTACATCTTCTAGTTTTCTCCCACCGTTGTATTTAGGTACACGCGCGCTACAGTACACACAATGAGCCTACAACTAGCAGTTCCGCACGAGTGATTCAGTCCACATCGTGTAAATAGCGCCGCGTAGGGTATCCGCCGCGTACGATCTTTGCGTGTATGCTGTAACCATGGCTGTAAATTGTGATTGTTACAGCTTGCACGCAAAAATCGTACGCGGCGGATACGCGGCGCTATTTACACGATCTTTTGTTACTTTTTCGCCAGTGACGTCATGGTAAAATCGTAATCGCCTATAACTTCATAAAAAATAGCCAAAGAACGATTTTAAGGTTGATTCTATTATTAATGGAATATCAAAAATCCACTAGAACAAAAAATCATTTTGCTAGTTCTCTTTTAAGGTCCAAATGTTCACACCTCAGCCCCAACCATGGTGGGGCTGAGGTAGTGTGGATTCCCATGCAACCCCTACCACCAAATCCTGCATACAACCTAGAGTACACTTTAGGTTCATCAGCAGTCTGAAGTACATTAATACACAAAAAATATCAAAAATTCTCTGTACAGATTTATTAATATTTACTGGGAACACGACTTGAACAAATATTATAACATAAAATTTATATAAGCAGCGTGTATACTTGATTTTTTTTAGGATTTGATTTTTCTTATATACATTATTAGCTACAATATGAACGATAAGAGTACAGTAATGTTAATATAAATTACACAACAAATGTTTATACAAATATCACTTTTCTTTTAGATATTGCTAACTTACTTACAATGTTATGTGCATATCAGCATCAAATAGAACATATGAATGTGACAATAGTGGAAAGAATAGGTATACCACTTTGATAAAATTTCGCATTATAGTTCAAATCGTGAAGCAAAATATAATAAATAATATCTAGCTAGTGATTATAAACACTTAAACTCCACTTACCAGAGACACATTACAATACACGTCCATGGTCTTTCCTTGGCACTTTTTTGTTTTGTTACTACAGTATTTTTGATTCTGCTTTAACATGTATTTTTGCTATTCTGGTTGTTTTGTACTATCTGTTTATTCTTTGTTTTGTTTACTGAATTTTATATTTTGTACTAAAATTTCGTGTTTATTTTCAGAGCGTCTGTACAATGCCAAAAAAAAAATGAAATCAGGCATTAAAAATAGGATTTAATAAATTCCTCGTTTATTTGGCAACTATACTTGGTATTGGATTTGAAAACAATTTTAATTAATAATTATTGTTGGAAAAACATGATAGCGAACATTATGAGAAGAAATTGAAGTAAAATGCTAACATAACACTACTGTATATGTAGCTATTGTTACAGTATATTTGATAGGAATTTTTTTCCCCCATTTATTTATTTATTTGGCATTACTGCCCGGGAGACGCAAAAGCAGGAAACCTACTGTCACCAAAAGGACGCGCAAATCACTGATGATTTACCAACTCTTTGAAGATGGCACCCTAACAAACTTGACATATGCGACTGAAGCAGTTGTGAAAAGTATTTTATACCATGTTCAATTGATGTCAAACACTCTTATGTCTGTTTTTACAATGTGTCAATGTAAATCTCTTTAAATCAAATCGCCAATGATGATTTACGGTGTCTAAATATATCAGATGATGAAAATGCTCTTCATGTATGAAGTGCATTTTATACATCTGCCTCCTGTGGTTGATACCTTAGGCTGGTTTTACACGTCTGTTATGTGCCTCAGGGAGGCTAAAACAACTAGCATTTTGTTTGGCCTAACACTAAGTAAAAGTGCTTTTCAACGAACCAGCATTTGTCTTGCGCTAACATCCAGTAGTTAGCACTTTGCTAAAGAGGAAGCTTATTTTCACATCAGAGGTCAAAAAAATAATAATAAATCGCTTTCATGTTGGATTCTCTTCAACAATATTCTCTGAATCATCCCCTTGATCGGTCACAATCAGCCTAATGTGCAGAGAGCAGGTGTCACAGGCAACGATGACATCGTTTGACACCTCAGCTTCCTGGATTATGTAATTGCCACCACATCGACAAGGATAATATGCCACATCTGATAAATAAAAAATAAGATTTCAATTTAAACAAGGATGGTTTATTTATAAAAACGTATATTTGTCCACATTCCAAGATTTTGAATCAAAACACTTTGATTACAGTTACCAGTGATGGACCGGATCCAGGAATTCAAAATAGAGGGGGCCCAGGGCAGGACTTTTACAGATAAGAGTTCTGCTCTATACCACCTCAGCCCAACTTTGATTGGGCCTGAGGTAGGGAAATTTATGATTATTGCAACTCTAGATGGCTGGAAATGGTACTCTACCCCCCCCCCCACTTTTTTTTTTTAATTTTGAAAATTTAAGGAGCATGGGCAAGCTGGATGGCCCCCTCTAACCCCTTGAATCCACCAATAGTTACCATACTAATGACTGCACCAGCAAGATTTCACTCTTTTTTCATCCAAGTTATTAACTTACAATATCTTTGTCAGATTGTGATCTAGAGCACAAAAAATGTTAATTTCTTGTCATTTCTAACTTGGTTTCCAATCAAAATAATCTGAGATGGAACTACCCAGCAGATAACTGTCAAGTTTTATATTGAAATATTGAGGGTTGGAATCTTTAACTGGTTACATATTTGTCCCTTACCAAGGGATGGATTGATTTATTTGGTGTAAACACAAAGGATAACCCACGAAAGTCAGAAGAAGACTCATTTCTAGTAGGATCCTTCTGGTGGTAATTGGGCAGTACAATTGGGTTGGCAGGGCCAACGGCTTCGTCTCATCCGAAAGATGGTGTGGTATCGTAACTTGTATTATACTGTAGCTCTCCATCTGAAATACAAGCAGAGCAGCGATGGGAATTGAACCGGGGACCAGGAGATCTCTATGGTCCAGCACACACACAGTGGCTACCACCAGTTTAGCCGACTCAGCTAAGCTGCTCTTGTAAGAAAAGGGACTTGGTATCCTACTTCTAAAACATATATAAAACAACTTGAAGGAGTCCAGCATAGAGCAACTAAATATTTTAAATAACAATGATTTAGATTACAAATACAGACTCCAAAACTTGTACTTTACTCCCTGTCTCTTATACACATCTAGATGTGTATAAGAGACAGATATGTAATGAAAGGAGTAAGGTATAACTAGCTAAAGTTATTAATGTAAAGATTTCGGGAGGAAATTGAGGGCGCTTTTTAAAATGACCGCTAAAATTTAAATAACAACTTAACAGCAGCTTCAATACCCTAGATAAATTTGCTTAATTTACAAAACATGAATGTAATAACTGCTGTTGACTTTTTAAACCCAAAATAACATATTTTAGGGGTGTAAGCTAACTCACTTTCGAAAATGTAAGTAAAAATTCCCCCTTATATTTAGCCCTTTTCTGTTTTGAAGAATGGAAAATAACACCAGAATCTTTAAAAAAATACCAGCTTCCTTACAAATATCCGGTTGTTTTTCATTATTTCTGTGTGCTATACAAGGTACTGTAGCTCTCCATCTGAAATACAAGCAGAGCAGCGATGGGAATTGAACCGGGGACCAGGAGATCTCTATGGTCCAGCACACACACAGTGGCTACCACCAGTTTAGCCGACTCAGCTAAGCTGCTCTTGTAAGAAAAGGGACTTGGTATCCTACTTCTAAAACATATATAAAACAACTTGAAGGAGTCCAGCATAGAGCAACTAAATATTTTAAATAACAATGATTTAGATTACAAATACAGACTCCAAAACTTGTACTTTACTCCATTATGTTTAGGTGACAATTTGCTAATATATTATTACTTTTCCAAGTTATTCAACTCTACCACAATTAATTCAGATAATCTATTTAATAATCATCACCTACACCTTGTTACCCTTAGTTCTTCTGTTGGTACACTTTTTGATATTCATCGCCTCAGGACAGAATTCTCATTTCAATCATTTACTTCATGTGCTACCAGAATTTATAACATATTATTATTCTTTTAAAATTAAACTTTTAAATTATTTCAATAACTATTTTTTTAATAACTTTGATGTTGAAAATATTTGTAGTTGGTTGCTTTCTTGTAGATGTTGCTGTTGTAGAGTGTAATTGTTATTATTATTCTGTTTAGTGTAATTGTCCTATTTATATCTGTACTGTTTTGGGTTGACCAACTTGCACAGGTGTCTAGCACCTGTTTGGTCTTTCCTTGCCTTTATTGTTTTTGCAATTTAGTTTGTAATGATGTATTTGGTAGAAATCTGAAAAAAATTATCCTTGTCTCTCCCACTCAAGATTTTACCAACTCTATTAACTATGTTTGAATGACTATGCACTGCAACATTATTAGATTCTGCCCATGGAACTGAGTAAGCCATTTATGGTTGTTGAAGTTAAAGTCAGGCTCTGGTGGAAAAAATTGTTTTGATATATTGTACAACTGATTTTTCCAAGACACAAAAACAAACATAATTGACGAAAAACTCAGGAACGGTTAATGAGATACAGATTTTTGAATATTTAAAAACTGGGGGAAAAAAAGAGGCGTAACCACCCTTTTTTCACCTTTAATGTACAGCACATGATATAGATATTGGCAAAATTCTTATACATATGGTGGGATCAAAACATTATTAATTTTATGTTACATTTTACATTTAAAACTAACTTTCTTTTGTGCAGCAGACATACATACCATCTTCAAAGTCCATGTCTTCAACCTCTACTTCTTCATTGACTGCAACAGTTTGTTGTACATGCTTTTCTGTCATAAAATAGAAACCGATCAGAGGATTAGTAACATTTGATGGTTTCTTTAGAGCTCTACCCTTTACACTGCTGCTGTCTCTTATACACATCTAGATGTGTATAAGAGACAGGTTGATACATGTGTATAAGAGACAGGCATCATAACGTCTTCTTGAATCATCATCACCCAAAACCTTCCATGCTGATTCTAACTTGAGGTATTCCTGCAAAGCAGCTTCTTTCTTACTGTCTTCAACTTTATCTGGATAACACTAGACAGAAAGTAGAATGTTTATAATATTATTAAACTATTAATTTTTAGTATTAACTGTGCAATCAATAATTTTATGATGTAGAAATTCACAAGTCAGTGTAAAGGTAGTCGTGGACATTTTATACTTGCTTGATGATAGTAGGTCTTTGAAAAGCTCTTTCAATTTTTATGCTTTCTTGCTTGATATCATTTATATGGTCTAGCATACTATTATATTTTATTTTATGCCTGCAAGCAAAAGGTCTGTTCTAAAATTTAATCCGGGCATAATCTAACGGCCAAACACCCCAAAGTAGGTCTATGAGTATTAGGCCAAGGCCTATACATAAATAACTACACAGGCAGTGACTGGCACGCTTTGTCTCTGCCTTGCCTACCGTGCATTTAATTCTAGCCAAACCAGCTCCGAGCTCGGGTAGGACCGAGTCTAGGCCCTACTAGAGAGCGATGAAAATGTATCTTTATTTGGGAATTACAAAAGGTATTACATACCAAATTTAACTTTGGAAACTATACATTTACCTGCAAAAGAGCCTTGCGGTAAGACTTCTTCAACTCTTCTTTAGACGCTGAACGATCACTGCCAATTATCTCATATAAATCATCATGTTTTGAGGCAGCCATCACACAAACAAAATCAACAAAAAAGTAATGTTTAAAATAGCGCCACCAACCACAGCATTGCACACAAAACACGTGCGAATTTATGTTTTTTAATAATTATATTAATTTATTGATTAAAATATGCACACTGTTCTTTTTTAAGTTTTCAATCGTATTTTTTTTAAAGCTTTAAATGTTTATTGGTATTTTTAATGCGATTAAAATTATAAATAATGGTACCCAAATTCAGGTCTTGGACTGTTAAGAATTATGAATAAATAATAATAAAGAGATGATGACGATGGTGATGGTGATGATGATGATGATGATGATGATGATGATGATGATGATGAGGATGATGATGATGATGATGATGATGATGAAGATGATGATAATGATGATGTTGATGAATTGTTAATTTTATAGCTCAATGATCAGACGATGATGGTGTTGAGGAGAAGGTAGATGATGATGAATCACATCATAATCATCATCATCATGGTAGTGATGATCATGGAGATGATGATGTTGGTAATGATGATGACGATGATGATGATGATGAAAATGATCTTAATGATGCCATTTATGGTAAGGATGAGGCCGGATGCGCGGATCATCTTTGTATCATCTTTCATACTTCGTCTCAAGAGTCAGACCGCAATTATTTCGATTTTAGTTTGTGTTGATTGTGTCATGGCGGTTCGTCTGATTTTGCAAAGTGATTGGGATACGGCTCTTAGGTAAATTTTGAAGTCGTTAACGGTTATCTTTTTATTAATTTAATCTCAATTATATCCGTTATACTTTGATATATATATTTAGAGTCAATACTCGGATGTGTTGCGTTTCTCAAACCCATAGGCACAATGAAGGACAGGCCTGGATTTCTTGCAAGACCGTGTGTCCTGGTGACCAAATGTGCGGTGAGTCCCTATCCAGGCCTAGGGCCTAGCCTACTACTATTGCCTAACTAAGCTAAAGTAGTTTGATACTGAATAAATTCTATCTATCAGTCAGTTAAATCAATCAGTAATAATCACGCAATACCACTTATGACCAGGAAACAAGTACAACAACAACAACAACCAAAACAACAGGAACAGCTTAGCTGGGGTGTCCGGTGTGTAGGGGAAGCTAGAAAATCAGGGGCGGGCGGTGATGCTTAACAAGTATATTTTTTTATTTGGCTTTATAGTTATTTAATATTGCTATTATTGGGGTTGCACTGGGGGGGGGGGGGGGGGGGGGGGGGGAAACAGCTTCCATCCCCCACC